GTTGTCTGAAGGCATGACTATTACTAACATTTCTGAACTAGACCTGTTCATGAGAGCTGGAAGTGAGAAGACCACATTTCTATTGATCCTGATGATCCATATTACGGCCCGTCTTGTAACTGAAACCTCTTAAGACTGCCACAAGACCAACGCACACCCTCCATTCTGGTTTTAAGTCACTAATCATTCAAAGTGACAGCAACAGAGCATTCCTTTGACACTGTCCACCCTGCCACTTGTGATTGGGTTTGTGACAGGTATAATGTGAACAGTCTTGTGTCTGATCTTGTGATGGTAATACTGAATACAGCCAGCCCCGTCATCAATGCCCTCCTTCTCTCACCAGAAGCCAACCCTTGTCCCTTGACGACAGCCCTTCTGCCCGTACTCTCAAGGAGCTCCAGCAGCTGCGAGGATGGCAGGATGCTCTCAATGATCACCCGCTCCTGGGCCAAGTTGATGTCCAAGGAGGACACTCCTAGAACATTAGGGTTGGAGACATTACAGAACATCAGATTTTTTTATTACAAACCAAGAAAAAGGAAGTGATCGCATTTATCATGATGGACTGCACATACTCTTTTAAAGAAATATAAATCTTCATGGATGTATCTTGTGAGATTTTGATCGGGACCTAAACAATCAGAATCTGGTACACAGTCCGCACACGAGGAGACCAAAGCCAGGAAAACAGTGGACTCTTGAATCCATCAACCATCCATCAACAATCAGAATCTGGTACACAGTCCGCACACGAGGAGACCAAAGCCAGGAAAACCGTGGAATCTGAATCCATCAACCATCCATCAACATCGGATCAACATTTTATTGGATTTTAGCTGATTTGGGGAATGGCAAACTACTACAGATGCCAATTCTTTTGTAACTGAAACTGTCTTAACAAATGGAGGGGTGGTGGAAATTAGGTAGGGAATGGTAACGATTTGTAGATTTTGGGATTGTCAGTTACTAAAAAAAATAAGTACCGGTTCATATGGGCCATTCTGGGTGCAAAAATGTGACATTGTGTGTCCCTGTGGAATTTGACCTGGAAATATCATTGATACTGACTTCAAATGTTTTATTTGTTTGCCAGGTAATTGGCATGCATAGTCATTCTTAGAAATTAAAGAATTTGTTATAAACTTACAAAATCATGAGTCGGATGTGAAAGAGACAAGAAAAAATTGGAGGTCAATATATAGAATTGACCCATATACAAAGTACATTCTTATTCAACTAACTTTGTGTTTACTGCACAAATGGAAGGATGGTCAGACAGCACATTACATAGTTGATATTACTTTATTTTATAGCTTTTATGCTGGCAAGAGTGCATGAACAACACTCCTCCCAGGGAAAACTAGATCCCGTGGAAGGCTTTCAAATAACGTGTGGGTCGCTTTCTTGTAACCAGATATTGGAAGGTTTTCAGGGGCTCTTTTAAAAACTACACAAGCTGGAATCTTTCTGAATCTCATTCTAAAACAGCACTGTCTATGGGCTAACCATCAACTCCTTCAAATGTTTTCTGGATGCTATCAACACATTTCTGACATGTCATCTGTACAGCAAATTCAACCTGTGAAAAACAAGAGGAAAAGCATAACTAATTAACGATGCTATTTTTTCACACTTCCACGTGGGACCTTTAAACTAAACACAAACTAAAATAAAATTTATGTTCACCGAAAGTCATTTTCAATAAAATCTATATTATTTGAACACTTTTTCATTTGAAGAATTTACCGCAAAATACAAGCTTTGAAAATGTTCCATGAGGCTCAAGCTTCATGACCTATGAGGTTAAGTTTCAACTTGCTGAAAGAAAGTGATTTTCCTGAATGCATAGTATATGTACATGTACATACATACATGCCTACTTCTCATAATTTCTATATTATGCAGATTCAAATGTACTAATATGCCCATCTAATATTTCTTTGTGTGACATGAACTACATGTACATGAATAAACACAGGCCATTCTCTCAAGTGGTCATACTCTCACATGGCTCTTTGACTGAAATAATAATTAAGCCTACAGTTACAAAGTTGCAATGAATTTAAGAACTATTCAATATACTCATTTGCATTAATATATCACTAATCCTTGATAGTGCTGATGCAGGCAAATACTGGTATGGAATTAACAAGTGCCAAATGGAACAAAACTAGCCAAACACCCAAATCTGGGTGCATCTGCTATAATAAGTGGTCTCCACATTTTCTGATGTCACACCCCCTTTATGCCCTTAGATCCTAAAGATATACATGTATGGTACCCAGTCACGCCATCGCAAGAAGCAATATCAGTCAGCCCAGACGACTTACTACTAAAACAATTGTTCTGCACAACCTAATTTAATATGTGTTGTAGGGCCTACATGTTGTAAAGGCTGATTTCTTTCAACCATCCTAATGTCTGGAATTCAAACTTTAAATCTTACCCCTACCTCCACCCTCTGTATGTCAGTGGTATGTCAAACCATGGAGGTAGGAATCATCACATATCAACTCAGTCACCATCACCATTTAGGCTAGGCCAAGTTTGCTAGCTTTGTTAGGTCGGGCGGCTCTACATCATGCTCTAGCCATGAACTCATGAAGCAAACCTACGGAGGCCCTAGCCCAGGTTGGATGACGTCTAACCATCTGACCATGCTAACAGTTAGTCGCAATGCAATGTACACGTCGTCCAACCTGGGCTGCGGAGGCCCTAGGTTTGCACTATTCATCCTTTCTTATTCATGTCCTTACCATACCAACCCCAGAACTGTGGGGTCCGACGTCCGCCCCGCTTCGTGGGAGCAGGGTAGACGTCGGACCCTACAGTTCTGGCATGTGTGGAGCCCTTGCCAAGACTGATACATCATACATGTACCTTCAAGTTGTTGTAGGTGTCCAAGGTAGGAAGCAACAGTATTGTTATTGTTACGCCCCAACTATAGCATCAGTCCCAACTAGAGTTGTAATATACCAGACCATAGAGGGCGCTAGTCAGTCACTCCTTTCGGATAGTTCTCAGAGCTCACGTTGGAAATAAAAGAGTAGCTGATGTTGTCACCTAAATGCAGGTCGTCCTGGCTCCATAATAACCCTCCACACATAACAATAGTTGGGCCCGTCCCAACTAGAGTGCTACAGTTGGGCCAGCCCAACTAGAGCAGAGAGGTCCCGTGTGCAGGATGTGCCCAGCATGTGTCAAAGTCATATTGTTTGCAAATGTCATGTCATTGGTCATAGGGCTAGATGAAGAGCCACATTTTAGATGAATGGTGTCAAGTGTGAGACACATTGACTTAGATAATGTTGAGACATTTTCCAAAGACATTAGTCTACAATAGTTGGGCAAGCCCAACTGCAGCACTACAGTTGGGACTGTCCGTAATACTAATAGTTGGGACTTATGTTATAGTTGGGGCGTAACATTATTAACACTATCAAAGGAACAACGAACCTTTGTAGCTGTCGCCATTGCACCTGGAGTTCAACTTGCCTTAAAAAAGTTTTAAGTGCTCAAAGGTCTATTGAACTTAGTTACAGACTAAGCGCATCGCACATGCCGTATATGGGCCGAGGTTATTCATCTGTTTGCTGTATAAATTCTCGATATGTAGCAGAGCGCCCTCTTGAATTAAGCAGTTTCTCTGGCTATGTCAAATTCAACTTTTAACTTGTCGCATGGGCATTGGATGAAGTCTTGGAGCACGACTGCGCGCTTGCCATTGCAAAACGTGCAATGAGAGTGCCAACGCCAAGTTTGCAGACACATTGACCAGTACCAACGTACACACGTACGTACATGTACTGTGTATGCCATTTCGTTATGTTAGGTGACCAGTGTTGTTGACTGCTTGCTCCTTGTCCAAATTGGGTAGTTGTTTTGTTTCGAAATAAAGATGCCACCAACTGTGTCGGAGGAAGACTGCAGCGTCAGTGGATCTGGTAAGTTGACACATGGAGAAATAAAACACATTTCTCCATGGTTGACATGATGAAACAGTCTACCTCAAAACTAGAAGTTCGGGGGGTTCGTTGTCCGCCGCTCTCGTGCATTGCGGCGCGCTGGGGGGGGGGGTGTGTACGTACCAGCAACACAGTCATGACGGTAATTAGTATAAAAAACTGCTGCGGGCTAGGAAACTAAAAGCAAAATGCAGTCTGCAGTCAATTATATATTGAAATTCTCTCTTCAAGGCCTATATCGAATTAGGCCTACCGGGTTTGAGTGTATTTTTTAGTGTTCAACCATTGTCAAAAAATGAGTTTTTTCTACCAATCCTTACCTCTCATCTCTCAATGATCCACACACATCTGCATTCTCCGTGGCCGTATGTCACATGACAAAAACAGGTCCTGCAGCTTGTTCACGTAACAAACATTTATGTTGCTTTGGTCTTGGGTACCAGTCTTGATAAAAAAAGAATTGTGAAGCTGCTGGATTGATCATGATGAAACAAATATTTATGGGTACATCTGCTATTCCGAAGTCTGTTGTCAAGCATGCTTCTATACAAGACTACGTAGAACAGCCTCTGGAAATGGTTCTCAACTTAGTTTGCCGCATAAACGAACTGAAGGGCACAGAAATTCCTTTGTACCCAGAACTTGTAGAGATTTGAACAGGCTTCCTGATACAATAGTCTCAACAATTTCAATTAGCTCTTTTGGGGATCAGGTTCTTGAGTTTATCAGATCCAGGGATAGGAACTGAAATTAACTTTGTGCCACTCTGGCTTCTCCTGTAGCTATGCATGGATTCAGTGAATCTGTTGCTATGTACCGAAGAAGAAGCTGTCATTGTCTCATTTGTAAAGAGGAATACATCAAAATATTCAAAGGTTACAAATGTTGTGAATTTTGATTGTAGGTCTAGGCTTACACAACTGTGCATTGTTTATTATTAATTATAACAGTTTTGAATCCTCCGCTAAGTTGTAAATTTGACAGCATGACTCCACAGTAATGGTTAAACCATAAAGTTCAGAAGTAAAGTTTTAACATGAAAACAAATACAAGGCTGATTAAAAATAATTCCTTGTTTATCATCACTCCAAGTTATATTTTTGGGTAAGGAGGACCTTTGATATTTGATATTTTAAGTTAGTATTTTCCAGAGTTTTCAGATAGTCTTAAATTACCTTTCTGGTACAATAGAGGAATAAGAACACTTGTACAGTATTTTAACGTTTAACAAACGTACATGTACACTTGAGGCTTGGCTTAGGCTTTGATTTCTGCCCTTGCATGGTCATCACTACCGCCTCAAGCCTGTATTTTGTGAACACCCATGTACGTACATGTATACAACTTGATTGAAATGTAAACAGTGTACACGACCCGATCAATTGGTCATGGCTGAGGGCAAGATTAAAGAATTTAGAATAAAACACACAACCATTTTTGTGGTGCAGACACATCTGCAAAGTTGAAAAGGGCCAAAAATTGGTTAAAAGTTGGAAATATCAAAAATAAAAAAAAGTCGGGACGGTAGGAAAAATCTGGTAAAGTAGTGATGATAAACAATTTGCCTAAACTTCCTTTAGTAGTCAGCAAAGGATGTTTGCACACATCCTGTGTTTTCATATAGCTCCATGGTTTTCTGTACAAAGTCATTTGAGTGTCCCTTCAATTATGCATGTTCTACGACTGGTCCTCACTGTAGGCGTGGCGGCAGCCCTCGAGCAGACACTGAAGGAGCGCATCATGATCTTTGATGGAGGGATGGGTACTATGATTCAGGCCCTTCATTTCAGTGAAGAGGACTTTCGAGGAGAGATGTTCAGGGATCATTCCAAGCCCCTGAAAGGAAACAATGACCTGCTCGTCTTCACTCAGCCAGACGCCATCTACAAGATACACAAGGTCAGGGCGGAGTCTGTTCATTGGAAAGGGGAGGAGCATTCCCCTTCCCATCCTCTCAAGGCTATTTGCTCCAATTTTCTCCCATCCATGTATGTGAAAATCTGTACTGAGACAGTAGGATTCATGACAGTGTTGATAGCAATCTGCTCATAAACACCAAGTCATCAACAGTTCTGTTTACTTTTTATCATGATCTGATGTGCTTTCTGCTGTATTGTGTTTGAGGTAAATTTGAAATGGTGGGATCACTTGTCTAACATTTATTTTACCACATAAGTTTTTGTCCTAGTTGTATCCTCAGAAGAACATGTATGTAGTAATTTCTCAACCGTTGTTTAATTTACGAATAAAATTTTATTTTTTCTACGGCTTGATATTGTAATAGCATTTCAATATGTGTTTTCAATCTGTGATTTTACCAGTGTTAAGTGAATTATATATTTTGATTACTTTATTTAGGGAAAGTAACTTAGAAAAAGACCCACAACAAAACAAACACAAATGTTTTGGTTGAGAAAAAAAGCAATTTATACGTTGAATTCATTTCATGTGAAAGCATAGGAATCCACAAGCTTACTTGACGTTGCTGCTAACGCTCTTTTGGTGATAATTCATGTCACATTATATGCTTCAGTTTTGAAGAGAAAACAAATGCCATTCGCAGTTTTTAAATTTAGTCTTAGACCTTTACTTTGGGGAGGGTAAAAAGAAAATGTCATAGATGATTAGCCATGAACAGTACACTGGACCTACTTGTACATATTGCTTACTGGGTAATGTACTGTTACGTTGCTGCTGTGATTCAGCTAATTTCATGCTTCCTGATGACAAAGTGGTGCATAGGTTTCACCATTTGGCTGAAAAGTAAGATGTCCTTAATTAAGCTAAGCATTTCCACAGGTTAGTTTCTGAAAACTTGTCATTGAATTCAAATCTTAATATCGGGATCAGAAGAGGAAGCATGAACTACATGTATAAATGCCGTGTGTTGAAATACATGTACATGAGAAAAGATCACCCAGTAACGGGTCTTGGTAGTTAGTATATCTCCCTTCAGCTTTCCAACAAGCAGTGTTGATGGAATGCCAATATTATGACTGCTGTAATGGCTTGTTTGACCTGTTGCAGGATTACTTGGAGGCTGGGGCAGATTTTGTGGAAACCAACACCTTCAGTGGCACAAAGGTTGCGCAAGCTGATTATGGTGTGGAACACTTGGTATGTAAGGCTCTGTTGGTGAGAAAATCCTGGTACATGTTAAGGGTGGAAATTTACGTTTAATTTGAAAAACGTTTGGAAACCTTTCCCAAATGTCCTACCCTTACCACGGTGTCATTGAAAACTTTAAACACAACAACTTAAATACAATGTAAATAGTTGACACAAAGTTCCGGTGATGAATTCACGATATTCCTTTGACATGACCAAGCAGTGAAGTGTTCTGAAAATCGGATTATATTTTACAGTCATTGTTTACAATAAAAATGAATACCAGATTACGTCAATCCAAACGTCAAACCTCTAAAAAGGAATGGTTCCTTTTAAACATTTGGGAAAATCTGTAAATGGATTTTGAACTTTTCTTGTACAGCCTTAACAGTCCTGAATCCTCCAATTTCAATGTGATTGTACATACACCCTAAGGGTTAGGGTTAAATGTGTAAACGTCCCAAATTAGTACATGTGAAATCTGCAGTTCAGTTTCTGCTTTATAAAATGCAGAAAACTGCTGAAAACCAACAACAGTGACTTGAAGTAAATTAGAAGGCCTTACTTGCAGAATTTTTTTCAAAGGTAAACATTTGGATAAAGTATGGGCCAAAATTCTTGTCTATAAAATTAGTTTACTGACTGCTGGACTGTTTATCCATTTGGACTAACGTGATTTACATGTAAAGTGGCAAAGCTTTGCTGAAAACATGCAAACTCATATTTTTTATGACATGGTTGAACTGTCAGAATACCAGACTTAATAATAAGATTTTTTCTGTTTATGGTTATTGGTTTTGTTCCAAAGATATCCAGTTTTATTTCAGTGGTTAACCACTTCCTGCTGGGGCATTTATCAATGTTGATGATGCTGGGGTGGGATATTTATCATTTTTTTCTGTTTTCAAAATTCTTTAAAAATTCCTATCTTCATTTACTGGACACTTACAAACACATGAAGGCATGTCTGGTGTCCACTCTAGCCAGACAGACAAAATCTATTGACCCTGAGTATTTCAGCCAGGCCTGCAGCCTTGTAAAAAGAGCCCAGATTTTGTGGTGTTACTTAATATTCTTTTGTTCACGAACCTGGCTGAGTGCCCTGCTGACCTCTTTTCAATGGGGGCCAGATTATCATGCAGCGGTGCTGTTTGGCTCATTTTTGAGGTCGTGAAGCACTTTTGTCCCCGGTGGTAATCCGCTCGCTCTAAATGCCCCAAACTGTGGTATACTGTTTCAAAACAAGGCAGGGTTATCTCCACTTTTGAGAGTGAAAAAATGTCGGTAATGCCCAGCAGCCTGGTCTTTTGTTCTGAGTACAGTCTTTTGTTACAAGGCCCTGTTCCCGAGTTCTGAGACCCCGGCCATGCATATAAAGCATACATGTCTAGATCTGGAGTCCCTGGCAGGAAGTGCTTAATGAGTTTTTTAGGTTGAGATGTAGTGTACCTGTTTGTGACTGGTCTTACCATCTGTAATTTAATATTTTATTGACTTAGTTTTTAGTTTTTGATTGTTGTAATATACCAGTGGGAGCCAAATTTCTCTTTTTTTTCAATGGAATGGATTTCAAAGTAATTTCCAACTGAGGATAACAAATTTAATGCCAGTTGTAATTATGCTATAACTGACCACCTGTGTGGTCTTCCTTGTTTTTGTCTTGTAGATGATGTCAAATACCAAATCAAAGGATTGTTAACAAGTTTCCTTAAATATTTTAGATTTAGAGGTATTGCATGTAGAGTTCGCATCCCAAGCTACCATATTTGAAAAAAAGGAATTCTAAATAAGATTCTGAGGGGTGAAAATTTTTGAAAGGGGAATTCCAACATTTTGAAATGTCTATGTGTGTAATGGCTTTTCCAAGAGATGACGCTGAATTTTGGAGCTTTTACACAGTTCTTGAAGGATGGGAAATTGAAAATTTCTCCCCAAACTCTGTCTCTCATCATTGAAACATTAAAAAGATTGCTTCTTTTTTGGGGCGGGGGACGAAGGAAGAACCCTTGTCCTAATGGCTCCGTTGGATATTCTAGTCTTTCTGACAGTGTTACCTGTTTTCATTTGAGATGGTTCTACATGTTTTCAGAAAGTTATTGGCTTCTCTAAATCTGCCATTAAATGTTTATATTAGTTAAATATGGAGGTTATGCATCAACGCGTTCTCAGAGGGCAAGAGTTTTGCATCACTGGGATAGGCTTGAGTAAACCTTTTGTGCATTGCAGTTTAATTAGAATAACAAATGCAGCCTCTGAGACACCATGGAGATGCTAGAAATGCAGAACTTCTATAGCCGTGTAGTGTCCTGTCTCCGTATTTACATATATGTACTATTCACTAGAGATTCACCTCTCCTGTCTGTTCTTTCTAGACGTACAGACTGAATAAAGTGGCTGCAGAGCTTGCCAAGCGGGCAACCAAAGACGTGACCAAGGCCACAGGCATTCCTCGATACGTGGCTGGTGCCATGGGTCCAACCAACCGAACACTTTCCATCTCGCCTTCGGTGGAACAACCAGATTTCAGAAACATAAGTATGTCAAGTAGTCTCAGTCGCTGAGAATTTCCACATGTTTTTTTTTTTATTTTTTTCCCGTTTATGAGTCTTGGCCTATCATGGTTAATCTGTACTAAGAGAATGGCTATGTGTGTAGTGTACAGTGGTTTGATATTTTTGTATTCAGGCCTAGAATGTGCATTGCTCCAAAGAAAATATTTGTTGATTAGCATAAAAGAACATTGGACTTCTGTAAATTTCACACAAAGTTTTTAGGTCTAAGCTGAAAATCAAAAATTTCTTTGAACGTCTTGATCTGCTTTTCTGAGATTTTTCTCGGTATACTGTAAAAGTTTGTGACAATTTTTTTCTGTGTGACTGTGTTAACTCTGCCCACAATTTAACATCTAGTATAAAAATTGAAGTAGGATGCCTGTGAAATATTTACAGTGATTAAGATGGCTTTTGTTCTCAAAGCAGGAGTCCACCAAAATTGACTCAGTATGCTTTAGATGTTAATAAATTTAATGTTCTTATAAAAAGTAAGAACAGTCCTCTTCAGAGGTAATGTATTTGCGGTATGCTCTTAGAACTAGTAATTTTGTGTTTAAAGGAAAAAAATACATTTTTCGAGATCGCACTTCAAAATTTAACTAACATGTAGGTGGTCAACTCTATATAGCTTGAGCGTTTTAGAGATATAGAACATTGGACATACAATTGGTCTATTTCCAAACTGTGTCAAGGTCAGTCTCTAATTGGCAACACCATGCCCAAGGACATATTTTGACATGCCATGTAACCCACACTTAGGGGAAGCTTGACCTGAGAAGTATAGCAAATCTTTTCTACTGTTCCATGTCAGTGTTGACATTCCTTGTTCATTTTGTTAAAAATTAACCCTTAATTTGTTCTTTATCTGTGTGGACTCCAATTGGTAATTGCAAGAGACCACTCAAAGGATTTGCAGTCTCACTATGGGGGGGTGTTAATATTGATTGACAACAGATGGTATGCCAGAAAGGATTTTTTATGCAGGTAGAAAAATATGGGCCATGTTTTTTGCAGTCACTTTATGTTAACATGGGAAAATGTTGCAGGAAATGAACTCTGTGAACTGTTTTGAAGTATTTTATTCGTCATAAGGGATCAAGCAGTTGACTCAGTTCATTGGTAAAGTCAATTTTTTTCTGCATCAGCCCGATTCAAAATTCATCAAAATCCATGGGGGTTATGCAGCCTGGCTACATGTAGTGTACTGTTTACTTTGCTTGGTGCTTCACATTTCAGGGTTTTTTTATCACAGCAATTGTCTCTTTGCTATTGCAAGGTGTGAAATGTTGCTGGATGTAGGAAGGTTTTGAAATGAACACATTTAAAAAGAGTTCAGTTCTTCCCTTCATTTTGGTACAGCTGTCGAAGACTGTCATATTTTTGTCATGTCTGCTTGTTCATCTGTTTATCATGGCTTCTTTCTTGGTCTCCCACCAGTTTAATATCAGCCACATGCCACCTGTTCACATTTGCCAAATGTCAGTTGGGCAAGTTCCCAATCAACATGTGGGATGATTACTTTCAGCGGCCTTACAAAACCCAGAATCACTGCTTGTATTAATTTAAATTCGGAATACTGAACATCTGTTAAAAACAGTATAGCAAGAGAATGCCAGTGTTTTCTAACTTGTCGTCCTTTCTGAGGGCTACTCACAAGAAGTAACAGCCATGAACAGTATTCAAAATGGAACAAAAATATTCCAAATCCTGCACAACTCTTTCACACTGGCCTTAGTCTTAAGGCCAGTTCACACATGGTTCGAAAGTGAACATGAATGCAATACGTTTGCGTTCATCTGAAGTGTGAATCGACCTTTAGAATGTACTCAAAGTTACTCTCAGAATTCCTGTGTATCTTTCCCAGCATTTGACGAGCTAGTGGACGCCTATTCGGAGCAAGCCAGGGGTTTATTAGATGGTGGTGCTGATGTGCTGCTGGTTGAGACCATCTTTGACACCCTGAACTCCAAGGCAGCCCTCTACGCCATACAGCTGCTCTTTGAAAATGAATATAAGCCGATTCCAATATTTGTGAGTGAGCTTTTCTTATGGATTGGGTTGGCCACGCAGACAAACACTGCATACTTACAAGTGGGCTTGAGGTTTTGAAGTTTTGCTGACAAGTGGACCATGCCCATTCTCGTGTTTGTTTTCATACTCCTTAAAAAGCCATTAGTTGAAATTATTTTGGCACGTTATGTAGTGGCAATGAAGGATCAAATTGAAAGTTTTGTTTGTGTAAAACTGAATGTGAATTTTAAGTCATTTTCCTGGTGTAAAACTGGGTTACGTCAGTACAACAGGAATTTTTGACCTGGCCTCTGATTTCTGGGAATCGTTCCAGATTTCGGGATTTTGTGCTTGACTCCCAAATAATGGATTGCTTAGTTTGATTATTCATGTTTTGTTACTTTTCTGCACTTGGTAAAAAAAAGAGTTTGATTAACATGATAACCATTTGGGAGAAATTTTACGTCTCTTAAGCTATCATAAGCATGGCAAGTCACAGCTTTTGGTTTCATTGTTGTAATTCCTCTGCTGAATGTTTAATGAGAAACTTCCTGGTTCACCTTGTTGCGTAGAGGATTAAGAAAGACATCCAAAATGAATATTCCCGGAGTTCCCTCTGTTCACAGAAAGCACCATTGCAACAGATGTGTATGTTTAAATGTTAAGTGAAATGTCTATTATATTGAATTTTGACTTCCGCTCAACAGATTTCGGGCACTATCGTTGATAAGAGCGGTCGCACTCTGTCCGGACAGACTGGTGATGCCTTTGTCATCAGTGTCTCCCATAGCAACCCCATGTGTCTGGGTCTCAACTGTGCCTTAGGTGCCACTGAAATGAGGCCGTTCATCGAGGCCATTGGGATGTGCACACCATCATACGTCATTTGTTACCCCAATGCTGGTAAGACAGTCTTTGATTTCAATACCTAGTGTTCAATAGTTAAAAGAAAGCCCTACTTTCTGTTTTTATTCATTTCATTGGATTTGATTTAATTCCATTTGATTCCCTTTTTTTACAATGAATACGGCATGTTCAGTGTTATCTGACAGTTTGTGAGGAATTAACTTTGCAAGTGTGATCAATTAGGAGGTGAATCAGTGACCTGCTGCTCATTGGCCAATAAGCCCCTCTGCTTCTCTGACTCGTCAACCCTTGAGCTTGCAGGGTTACTTTGGATAGATTGGCTGGTGTGAACCCTGTATGGCCACGGTTACAAACAATCACCAGGAGTCTCTTTGCCCCACTTTGCTTTTGTGGCAATTTTTATATCCCTAACCAGTGGGTTATTTAGTCTACTTCTCTCTCTGTTAGGGCTCCCAAACACATTCGGCGACTACGACGAAACGCCGGAGGACATGTCTGGCCACTTGGCCAGTTTTGCTCAGGACGGACTGGTCAATATTGTCGGAGGTTGCTGTGGCACCACACCAGCGCACATCAAGGCCATCGCCGATGCTGTCAGACCTTACAAACCTAGGATCCCACCTGTGGAGGTCCATCCAGAGGCTCAGCTCCTTTCAGGTATCTTCCTTGAGCAGTAGCACCCCCTCATCGGTTTAAAAGAGCCATGTTGGTGGGGAGTATTCATTTTGTTGGCAGTGATGTGGCTGCAACCCGTGTGTTTCCTAGTTGTTCGTGAACCAGCAGTGTGCAGTTAGTACTAAAGGAGCCTCTGTTGCTAAGGAAATAGCGCCCTCTATTGGTCCAGCTTTAGGCCTATGGGCTAGTATGATCTGAAGGTCTGCACAGTGCTGCAGTCATTGTGTGCTCACATTCTAGTTGTACTTCGGCACCTTCCTCTGACATGGTTCCTAAAATGTGCATAAGCCTTTAGTTCAAAAGTGTGTCGCATGTGATGGTAATAACACATTACTGTTGTCTTCTCACCCTGGTCCGCAGACTACTCTATACCTGTGGTAGAGGTTTCCAGTTGCACCTTGTGAAGTCTCTTTTGTAAATGAGTGGAGATCCGAAAAAATTTCAGGCAATGTGCTCTGTCTACTGGACAGCCACTGTGGATAAAGCATCTTGCAAATTTAGGCCACGCTGCTGACCACAGTGGGACTTTAGAAATGTCCCAACTAGAGCATCTGTCCCAACTGTGATGTTGCAGTTGGACTGGACCAAACTTTGGTATTGTGTGTCAGTGTGTGCAAGAGAGTGTGTAATGATTTTGTATATACTGGCAACACACGCCACAAGAATCTCTTTTTTTGTTTACAGCAAGGATAAGATGCGAGGTTGGCATATTTTTGGTGAATTCTGGAGGAAATCCATCTTTTTTGTTTTATTGGAGATGAACTTTTGAGGGATTGTCAATAAAGGAAGTTGTGGATATTGTAAGCAGGTGCTCGGCAGAGGATTTGTAAGCAGTGGCAATGAGTTTTACTGAGTTTTCTGTCTTGTCTCTCTCCCAGGTCTGGAACCCATGATCCTCAGCAAGCACACCCTATTTGTCAACATTGGTGAGAGGTGCAATGTGGCCGGCTCCAGGAAGTTTGCCCGGCTGATCACCAATGGTCAATATGAGGTGAGATACGAATGGCGGTGTGCAGTGGACTTCATATACAAATAGAAGATCTGTGTGCTCACTCGCAAGAGGCTCAGTGCAGGTACCCAACAAGTTCTCACACTTTGTGGTGCAGGATGGGACTGCTTTTCATTCTGATGTGCACATTGTGTCTTCACTTGGCCTCTGGGTACATGATGGAGACCATCTTGTGTCATAGCTGTCGTTTCGTCATTAATGGGTTGCCATATGGAGTCCATGAAAGGAACCAAGATCAGATAATCTAACCTTTGCCTCCTACTGATAAACCGAAGAAAAACGTGTTCTGTTTTCCACCATTTTTTAAATTGAATCACAAGAGTTTTGTGTGAAGAAATTCTGGCAAAAGTGGTTCACATCTCTAAATTGTAACAATTTGTTTAATTTTCCTTGCCCTCAGCCCCTGCGCTATACTTTGAAAAAATCCACCATGTCCTTCGTCCTGATGTCTACACAAAACATCACAGTTTCTGCATCGATAACATGCATTTGAATTTGCCTTCTTGTGTTCCACAGGAAGCTTTGAGCATAGCCAAGGCCCAGGTAGAAGCAGGAGCGCAGGTACTAGACATCAACATGGACGAGGGCATGCTGGACGGCGTCAAGGCCATGACCAAGTTTGTGAACCTCATCTCGTCAGAGCCGGACATCTCCAGGGTGCCTCTCTGCATTGATTCCTCCAAGTTTAAGGTACAGGGTGCTGCCTCACCAGCTTGAGAACAGGGCTGTTGTAGGTCCTAAATGAGTGAAAATGGCCTTGTTAATGTACCAGGTCGGCGCAATCCCAGGAAAACTGTCTGTGGTCAGTTTGGCTGCTGAATTTATTAGCAGTCTCATTAACCCATTGGTCCCTTGACCACCGTAGAGCTTTCTTAAACCACTTCAGTGCTGTATTAACCCTCCTATGCTAAGATGCATTCTTGACACAGTTGTAATATCAGTCAAAATCAGTCAAATTTCCCATATGTGTCTGTGTACTGGGGGAAATCAATTGGAAGGCATTTTTTGACTGTTTTTCGACGGTTAAAACAATAGGAGGGTTAATTTAGAATATAAATTAAGTAGTACAATACATTGCTGCTATTACAAACTCGGGGGGCCCTCACATTGTTCGATACAGCGGTTGTTTGTTATAGTGAGTTTCAGTCAACCATGCACTCCTTCCTGGCTGCAGCCCATGTTAACGTATTTACCCCCCCCCTTACCAGGTGATAGAAGCAGGGCTCAAGTGCACCCAGGGCAAGTGCATCGTGAACAGTATCAGTCTGAAGGAAGGGGAGGAAGATTTCCTGGAGAAGGCCCGGACCATCAGGAGGCATGGAGCTGCCGTGGTTGTCATGGCTTTTGATGAAGTCGGACAGGTAGGCCGTGACCCGTAGGTTTCATGGTAGATGGTGCGAATGTGCTCCATGCCGGTGGGGGCTTTCAAGCGGCGAAACTATTTTTAAGAAGGTTATGTGAAGGCACTTTTCATCGAGGCAAAGTTTCCTTGTTCCCAACAATGTTGAAAGCTCCTCTTGAGCAGTCCTTTTCAAACTGTGGGATTAACAGCTCACATCCTTTATTGGGATAGTGTTTTGATTAATTCCTACCTTTGTATCCTGTGCTAAATTTTGACACGTCAGTCAGGTTTTACTTGCCATCAAGTGCCTGTAATAGCTGTGTTCAGAGTCAATTAATTTGTTGAATGGCACTGAGCAAAAACTACTGTGTGTTTGTAAATCGGTAGATCAAAATACGTCTTGCGTAGTCAGTGCTACTAGCAACTGTGCGCATAGTGTGTCAGCTCCACAGGACGTGGTTGCTTGGTAACGAAGCACTCCCCTCTCTTGTTCATACAGGAAGTCCACACCTATAATGTTGCCCTTTCCCCTTCCTGTAGGCTGTTGAAATTGACCGGAAACTGGAGATCTGCACCCGATCCTACAATCTTCTTGTTCAGAAGCTGAATTTCAACCCCAACGATATCATCTTCGACCCGAACATTCTGACGATAGCAACAGGCATGGAGGAGCACAACGAATACGGAATCAACTACATCAGGGCCACCGAGCTCATCAAGGTGAGAAACCCGGACTCAGAGGTTGTTTCTTGAGCAGGCCTCAACATTAATTTTTTTAACTAGTTGTACATCAGGCAAGTAGCATGGAAAATTTGCCTCCCCGAGGAAAGATTTTACTCGCCCAAACCCTGGCTTAGTTGTTCAATGCTTCCTGGGACAGTAAGTTCCATCTTTGCGACAATACGACACGAATATACATCACCCCCAACTATTGCGTCCGTCTATGCAGGGAGTGCGCAGGATTCTGATGCATCATTCGTACAAGTTCGGGCAATGGCTATATCTTAGCCACCAGACGATTTTGCCTGGTGTCATATATGCAAAAAGTACACACACAAGTACCAGGCAAAATTCACTAATGTTTAAGTCACAGCCACACGTAAAACAGTCTTCGAGCTTCCGGCTGTCAAAGCTCTGCTGTGCCGCGTGTGCAATAGCCAATGAGGTTTGGTACCCAGACACAAGGGTATCTTACAGTTTATTTGTGTATGCATTTTCCCTCGTGTGGAAAGGTGCCCTGCTAAATGTACAGCGTGCTTAATGTATGCAAATTTGTACATGCACATGTACGTAACGATGCAAAAAATCATTGTACACCACATAGCTATTCACTTTTTACCCCTTTTTATAAGTTTTTGTAGAGAGGAAAAAACAAATCAAAGGTATATTTGCTGACTGCTATTCTTGGCCACAAAAACGGACACTTTTTTTTCAAGAAAAGAGAAACTCCTGAAATGTTTGACTTTGAAAACTGAAATTTTGTGACAGAAATGCCTTCCTGGATGTCGGATCAGTGGGGGCTTGTCTAACCTTTCCTTTTCGTTCCGTGGCAAGGAGAAAGTTCGTGAAGCCATGCACAGTGTTTTTCTGTACCACGCCATTAAGGTAAGATCCACATCTCTGAGCACACAAGTGCTTCATATTGACCGTCTCATTTGCAGAGACGCCAACTCATACGATTTAGGCGTAATTTTTACGATTTGTGTAGTCCGTTTAGGATTCTACGATCCAGACTAAGATTTTTACCATTTCCAACTCGAAGGAACAAAACCATGCAGTTGTGTATAAACTCTACATAAGCTAGCACAGAGCCGGCCTCATAATGTGCGCGTCAGAAATGTGTCGCTGGCATCCCGCACATTGTGCATACAAGCTGCATGAGTAGCGGTAGAAACCAGCGCTGTTGAATCATTCGTTTGCCCCAATTAAGGCTATGATGAACAGGGGGCAAATAGGCACGATTGCACTTCATATGCAATGTGATTGTGTACGTCCATGCATTGTACATGTACCGATATCGTACACATGTGTGTCGGACATCATGATCGTGCTAAAGTTGACCAGAGTGGAGGACTGTCGAGGATTTGATTCTTGGATAGTTGGTGAGCAACTGGACTTGTGTTGCACAATGGCAATAAGTGAGCTGAAGTTAAGAGACGAATACACCACAAAAATGGGCCTTTATTGCAAAGTCTCGTTGTGTTTTGCAACGCATGTAACTGTGACATGATAAATATTGCCCATGTTGGATCTTACAACACCTAGAAGCACATTAGTTAGGCCAAGAAAAAGCAGCTCTGCTTCTGATCAATAGGGTCAGTAGGTAAGGATCTTTTGACAATTTTTTGTGCTGATTGAATGGGACAAAAGTTGCCACAAAAGTGATTGAAGTAAAAACTTACCAGAATTAATGTGGAAATATTACCAACAATTAATTACAATTCACACCTGCACAATGCTAGTCAGGTAAATACAAGTGTTTTGACATGAAAAGAAGTTGTTGACAGGTGTTTTGAAAGTAAAGACAACAGGTTTTTTAAACTTGAAAAAAAAATAATAAATTTCTAATTTGCCGATGAAAAATTTTAGAGTAGCGCCGAAAAGTTAGGGTCAGTCGGGAAACCGGAACTGGAAGTGCGACAGGATGACACTTTTTCATTTTGAGAAGTTGGAACCTCTGCATTTGCAGACACTTTGTGTAAACAAGGGGACCGTTGTTTTGCGTTGTCGACCGCTGTTTTCCAACTAACAGATTTCCCACTTCCCGGTGTCAATTCTTTTTCTCGTGGACTTCCAACATTGAAACAGGTTTACACATGTTGGGCATGAATTCCTTCTCAGTCGTCTGTCAAAATGTAACTGATATCATTGCACAAGGTGGGTCTTCAATTGAGTCATTGTCTTCGTCAACCTATTCAGTTGTGTGACGGTTGAACCTACCGGGACGTCATCATCCATGCATGTGCGCGCAGTAGGCACAGTCATGGCTCTTTAAGCAGGCAAAGAATTCCGTATCCCACGTGCGTGCGTGAAAGGCACAGTTGAGAGTCTTCTCACAGACAAGGTTTCTGTCGCAGCTTGGAACTGAAAATTTCAAGTCACGCTTGTTTGCCAAGTTGAGTTAGTAAAGCAACAACTTGTGCACAGTGGTGTTTAGGTGTTGCATAAAACAAAGAATGAAAAGGGATGAGAGAAATGAGACGAAAAAACGATAAAAAAGGGTAACTTCATTCCTCGGCAGATTGAATATTCCATTTCACTTGGCTTAACCTTGTGGAATGCAACATCCAATCTGTTACCTCAACCCCATCGGCTTACACGATTCCTCACAGGAAATTGGCTTCTCAGACATGTTTTCATTGATCTGAACCTCCAGGCTGGTATGGACATGGGCATAGTCAATGCGGGAAATCTACCATTGTATGATGACATCGAACCTAAGCTTCTCAAGCTGTGCGAGGAGCTGCTCTGGAATAAAGACGCTGATGCCACAGAGAAGCTCTTGGAGTATGCCCAGGTTTGTCCGACTTGGGATTTCCTGTGGCTGTTTCAAAGGCCAATGTACAGTGCACATTCCCGCTTCTGTTTTGTCATTTTTTCCCCCAAAGTTGATCATTGGTACTGATTTCCCATGCACTTTCAAGCAGGTGCCTCTTTACTAAATCTTTTACTCCAAGACGCTGGGATATTGATTTATTAAGAGGAAAAAAGATTTTGAGAGCGCAAAGCCAAACAAATTATTCAAAACATCCTTTGTAAGATTTACTTTTCTGATTCAAGTAGTACATTGTATTGCAGAATCTTGTGCATTCTTGTCTGATTTAGTCTGTTTCCATGGTAACAGACAGTGGGTAAAGATGCCAAGAAGGGGGCAGAAGACGAGGGCTGGAGAAACAACCCTGTGGAGGAACGCCTGGAGTACTCGTTAGTCAAGGTAGCTTCTGAGATCATTCAGGTGTTTTGAATGTGACCTGTGGCCTGCTAAGCACACACACTGACTTTGCACAGAGTAGGTTTCGCTTCATAGCTAAACATGTATCCCACCCATATCGTAGGATACATGAGACAAAACTTTGCTCAGTTTTAATCAAAGTTTCCCTTTTTAAAAATTGGGCTGAAAGCCAAGTTGGGAAATAGACAGTGAGTTTGAAAAGTTGAAAAATGTAGAGATATGTCAAGAAAAAAAGGGAGGCAAGCTCCCAGAAAATATGAAAAACAAGGATACTGTATATCAAAAAGTCAATATTTTTGAGTGCAGCAAAGAGATAATGACACAAGCACTGGGCCTTCCAACACAAGAAATATGTCTCTGTATGACTGCGCTGCGAACATTTAAGTGCCAATTATTGACAGTGAATTCACTGCAGTTTTATTACTGATAACTGAAGGTGTAGTTGTTCCTTGCACACATAACTGTATTTGTATTTTGTAGAATATATTGGTTTTGAGGCTGTGTTTGAAACTTGTGTCTCTTGTCTTTTGTGCCTTTTGTACTCCTAAATCCACAGGCATGTATGCACACAGGCCAGTGTTTCTATTTGGTAAAACCAGATGTTCCTAAGTAAACAGCAAATCCAACAATTCCAACTTTCTGAGACAACCTCTGGAAAACAGGTTTATTTTTCACCCTCAACACCAACATTAGTGCGAGGGATAAATCTATCTGCCAATTGTTAGTCAACCACTGTTACATTTTTCCCAGGTAACCTGCACACAAATCTTATGTGAGGTACCAGGCAAAACTGACATGTGATTGATATCTCCAATGGTCACTGATCACGCTTGGTCCTTGTTGAAGGCATCAGTGTCGTTGTCTTCTTCCCTTATCCCCAGGGTATCGACAAGTTTGTTGTGGCAGACACTGAGGAAGCCAGACAGAACAAAGAGCTGTACCCACGACCTCTGAATGTGATTGAAGGGCCCCTCATGAAGGTACATCGTATGCTGAAGGATCTAACTTGTTCAGTCAAGCAAAGCTACACATCCTCAAAGTGACCTTTTCTTTTGTTCTTACAGAAATGACTTATTTGTTTCACATATTTTCGCATAAAAATCATAACCTTATTTCAGTTTTAGGTTTTGACATCTCAAAAAAATAATCCCTTGTAATAATTTTTTGGAGTGAGTGAAGTGAATATTTTCAGAAGCTGAACAAATTTTTCAGTTGACAAAGTAATGGTTTGAGCAGATGATATAATACCTGAAAAAATGATCTGTGTGGACTTTTTTTGTCCCGTCAATAATTTTTTGAGATTAAAAACAAAACACTGGAAAACAAATAATATTTGGTATCTAAGTGAGTTTCATTAGAATGCAAATTTTTTTAAAAAGTACAAAATAGGCCCATCTGGTGGCAAATTAAGCCATCTGTTTACACTGTAATTTGTGTGGCAAAAAAAATTGTCTGAATGGATTCAGTTCAGATTTTTTTTTCTGTTCCACTCTGTCTTACTCGGGCCTGGCTCTGCTTATTTTGCTCAGGGCATGAGTGTGGTCGGGGACCTGTTTGGAGCCGGTAAGATGTTCCTACCTCAGGTCATCAAGTCTGCCCGGGTCATGAAGAAGGCAGTGGGTCACCTTATCCCCTTCATGGAAAGGGAGAAGGAGCTAAGCCAGCAGAGAATTAAAGAAGAGACAGGCAAAGTTGTGCTGGAGGTGAGTTGGAGTAGTTCTCACAAGCTTGTCTTACGTCCTGACATTGTAAGATTTGGACATCATTAGTATTGCAGTAAACTCTGTGATGAAAATGTCTTACAACAGACAACATTATTTGATAACACCCTTGTTGATGTCAGTGAGCATAAGGGTCTTTGCAGAAATGTTGAAAATTTTGTGACATTTTGACATTTTTTAAGACGAGGTATAAGTTGCCATTTATAACTTTGCTTGTGACTATCCCAGTCACTCTGGAATGTTTCTATATAATAGGGCATTTGGAAATTATTGGGATGATATTTTACAGAAATACCAGATGTGAATGTGACAGGGACATCACCACATTTTCATCAAGTTTGGCGAAATTTTTTGCGCCAGTTTCCTCCCAACTAACTAGCAGAGACTGTGAGGTCTCGTTGATTTTCCAATAATTGGATTGATCGACACAGTGAAATTTGGTACAACCTGGCAGATTTCAGGAATGGCTGTAAAACCTCTGATTAAATTTCCAAAATTCATGCCAGGAATAATTAAGTGTATTCTAAGCGAGCTTGTTTGGGGGGGATTGGATAGGGTGGGAATCTGAAAAAAATTGAGCTTCAACCAAACGTGATGCAAATACTGTGTTATCCCAGGCACATCCATAGTGTGTGTTTAAAATATTAGACCAAACAATTTCAAACTGCCCTGAACATTCTAGAATCAGATGAACAGTCAAAAGCAACAATACAAGCAACTTGGTGTAACTCTGAGTGACCCCTTATGCCTCAAAATGTAAAATGCCATCAAACGTTTCTCAGCTTCAAGGAATGGCCAATAAATGATCCACGGACCAAAAACCAATACCCTGTCTGCTGTTGCTTGCAATGATGTGTGTTTGTATGGGAAATGCATTAAGCCTCTGGCGGACAGTTCCCCTTGGAGTGCCTGTCATTACCAGTCATTCAGGCATGGCCTACTGCACTGTGCAGAAAACAACAGCCCTCAGTGCCTGTTAATATTGGACATGCTTGAGTGTCCGTCAAGCATTCCTACATTGTACACGTGTGATATTGATGAGGTGTCATTACCGCAGCAGTGCACTGGCGTATGTGTTTCTTTACTCGAGGTGCTCCCATGTAGCAAGTCACAACATCCTGTTGGTTGAAAATTGGTTACTCACCTGGATGTGATGGCTTCAGTTTCTGGTCGCTAGATTAATCCATATGCCACATCATACATGTACATTAAGCTGTTTGAACTTGTGTCAGAGGAAATATCTTGTGAAACATAGCAGTCCATCACAAACACCATTGGCAGATGTTGATCCCATTTGTGAGCGTAAATTTAGAGCCAATAATTCTCTGTTTCGAAAATGAATATTTTCCATTTTGCCAATTTCCGAATTCCGCTTCAGAAATTCAAATTCTGTTTAACCTTGAAAAAGGAGAGCAAGTTTTAAACTATGCATGGAAACCATCTGCCAACCATATCCCCCCCCCCAAAAAAAAATTGTTTGGATATACTCTGCAATGTTTCCAACTTTTTAAAATAATTTTCTGGAGTGAAATTTTTTTTTAAAATCCACACGATAAATACTGCATCCCCCTGCCCTTGATTTCCCATCTGAGCAATCGTCAAAAACTTGCTGCGATTAATCAACGGACAATTCATGTGTCACTCCTCGTGTATAAAATCAAATTACATTTAAATACATGTACAGTGAAGTCATAGAGTAGGTCTTGCATGCAACAGTCGTTGATCACCATGTGTTAATGTTAGACATCGACCCGCCATTTTATTTGGCAGTGGTGCGGCAAAATTCAGAGAGTTAATATTAAATCTTAAATAAGCATATGTGTGAGTATAAACTTGGCTGCACCTTGATTTCAATGCTAGTACGGTGGACGTGTGAATGGCCAATGTGTGTACCGTATTGCCCCACTGTGCTCTGCTGGCCCCCGCTGCACGGTTAAGGCTCCCAGACGCCACAGTGCTTGCAAGTATCGGTACCGGCGCGGACGACCCAATCATGTGGTACCGGTAGATCGGTGTAATTTAGCATGTTTCTAGCATAATGTGTTCATTAAAAGCAAGCATTTTAAAAGAGTTTGGTAGGCATCTATTTATGGTCCTTGGCGGAAAGTTTTTTTTACTTTTGAAGCCATTCTTAGTGGGAAATTTTGCAAGTTCTGTTTCAAGCAGTAATTTTCATTTCAAAGTGTTGATGCCGTGAAGTCCGTCCGTTTTCCCACAATCGGCAAATCATTGGCTCTACATAATACCATGATTTCTCCTGCTTATTCTCTACAGGATCAATACAGTGGCACTGTAGTGATTGCCACCGTCAAGGGAGACGTCCACGACATCGGCAAGAACATAGTCGCTGTAGTGCTGGGATGCAACAACTACCGGGTCATTGACCTTGGGGTTATGACCCCGTGTGACAAAATTCTCCAGACGGCCATCGAGGCTAAAGCAGGTACATGTAGTTTCCAGATGTTATCTTTGAGAGCATTGGCAAAATAGGAAAAGCACTTTAAAAGACTGTGTAAAAATGTACTTGTGCTCTGAAGGGGTAGTTACTGGTCTTTCAAGTGTACAAAAAGTATATTCGAAATACTGGTAACCCTCAAAAAGTAAAACTGTTGAAAGCATCATTTGTAATTTAGAGTAATGGCATTGAATAACATCTTTCAAAATGCAGATTGAAATCTGATTAGTCAAGTTTCATTGCAGAAGTTGCATCGGGATACTTTCCTTTTAGGGCTTCTCCAACCATCACATTTGAAACTATCCATCATACACCTTTGAAAACAATCAGTAGTTCTAATGAAAATGTGCTTTTTTTTACTCTCAGACATTGTTGGCCTGTCTGGCCTCATCACGCCTTCACTTGATGAAATGATACACGTTGCTAAGGAGATGGAGCGTCTTGGATTCAAGCTGCCACTTCTGATAGGTGGAGCGACCACCTCCAAGACGCACACAGCTGTCAAGATAGCTCCATGCTACTCGGCCCCTACTATCCACGTACTGGATGCTTCAAAGAGTGTGGTGGTGGTGAGTCATTACCGAGAGCGTCTTAAGAAGACTGCACAATTTTAGTTTTTTTAGGGATCAACTGATGTAGGTTTTAACTGCCGATCCGATGTCTGATGTTTTAATCAGAACATCGGCCAATGTCCAATCCAATCCGATGTTTTTACCAACAATAACTGAGAGGTAACCTTAACAGGATGTAGGCCTTCTAACAACACAAAACCAGTGTACTCCCTTAAAATGTCAGTTTATACATTACCGGTAATAGGATTAGTTTTTGCCATCACAGTCACCGTTGAGAGAATAAACTCTGTACATCAATCGCCGCCGCGCACGATACCAATGTAACTGATCACACAAACCCACATGGTGCTTACCAGTACATATACATGCAGAATAGACACAGCACTTTGGGCTGAATCACGGTAGCCTTTAGTCAAGGTGCGCATGGCACCGCTTCACCATTGTGTCCTCATCGTGTATGCCAACGGCAGAGGTGCATGTCGTGTGTTCAGGTAGCCATATGTGCCTTGAATAAAGGCTACATCTCGGGCTACCTTCAGACCGGTCACACAGCACCTCGTGTGTGATGCCATGCATGGTGTAGTTCCTGGGCTGTTTGAATGGCTGTCAATGGAAACGGTACACATGTACACTGACTGCTCCCTGGGACTGCGGTCTGTGCATTGAGTTGTTGCGGCATGGATCGTGTAGGTGTAATTTTTGGGGATACTTTATGTGGGTTGTACAATGGTATAAGTCTTCATTTATCTCACCAAATGAAAAAACCACAGTTTGTATTTATTCTCAAGTAAAAAATATGAGATTTTTGCTCGCCAAACTGAGTGCAGAGTTTGCTTCTTTCTTCAAGTTAACATCGGCACTCATATTTGCAAGGAAAATTTGCTGATCCCAAGTTTTGCCGATGTTGCTGAGCATTGGCTCGATCCCATGTTCGATCCAATTATTGATCGATCGCTAGTTTGTTTTTAATCTTCTTTTAATCAGGAAAGCCCTATCAGTCATAAACTGTTCTCCCAAAGAGCCCTGCATGAAAAGAGATAATAAATGTTCAGTTTTTAGAGGTAGTTTCCAGGGAAAGCCCGTGGAATAAGGCTGGTGTTGAGAACCCAATTCACATGTCAACCTGGACAGGACTTGAACCCAGGTGACGGAGGAGCGTACCCCTCTGCCAACTTGACTGCCTTATGTGTCAGGGAGGACATTTGTTTGTCCAGGACAGAGGAAAGTGGTGCAGTACAAGTCACTAGAGATGTGAATCTGTATTTTGGGATTTTCTTGTTATGTCTTACTGCAGACTTTCTGTTACTTTTCATCCTGCTACTTGTGTGGTTTTTGTATGATAGTGTTCTTCCCTGATGGACAGGGACCAATTTGAAGACTTCACTGAAGAAATCCGGGAGGAGTATGAGGAGATCCGTGAAGATCACTATGACTCCTTGAAGGTGAGTCTACTCGACCTCTTTTTCAAAGGTCACATAGATAGAGCCCTGCCTTTTTTATCTTTCACTGCACTGCTTCTTTGCAGCCTCACAGTGAAGTTTGTTCCCCCGTAAAAACTGGTAAGTTATAACAAAATTCTCAAATGTCTCATAAGGCTAATGAAAACAGTATTTTTGGCATTTCCTAGTAAACAACAATATGTCAAGTGTAATGGAACTGCCAACTAAAAATCTTTCTCAGTGTACATCTTACAAACGTTATTTTCAACCTGATTTTGAAGCCACTCGTTTCATGTTTCAAGCTTCACTCATTAAGATTCAGAGTTGTCTACAATCTAGGACTGAAAAAGGAAAGGAAGAGCTAGACTTGAAATCGCAACCTGCAGAGTGTTGCGGTGATAAACTAACTACACTGCACGTATCTAGTCATGTGCATCTACCTTTCCAATTTGTTTATTGGCTGTTCTTATTGCATGGGGAGGTACGTAGAGAAGGTTGAGCCTATGCATGCTAGATGTCAAGATCTAACAACCCACATTAGGATTCTAATGGCAGTGGTTGCTTAGAGTTGAAAAACATAAATGCAGAAAGAAACAACAGTTATTTAAGTTTTTCAGTTTCAGAATTGACATAAGATATCTTTTCAAATCAAATCACACAGAAACTTACCAATTCAATTCTGTTTTGGTACAGGTTGGGGTTTCTACTTTAGCTTCGTCGCTATTTACTCCTTTGGGACACACCAAAACCTACCAATTTAGTTCTGTTTTGATACAGGTTGGGGTTTCTACTTTAGCTTTGTAGCTTTTTACTCCTTTGGGACACACCAAAACTGACCAATTTAATTCTGTTTTGATACAGGTTGGGGTTTGTACTTTAGCTTCGTCGCTTTTTACTCCTTTGGGACATTGATTTGCTTCTGCTTAACTTCATTCCAGGATCGTCATTACCTGTCCTTAGAGGAAGCAAGAAAAAAGAAGTTCCTCATTGAGTGGAACATAGAACCCAAACCAGGTACTAGAGTTAGACACATGGAAGAAGAGGGGAAATCATTGCCAGCATGTTGATATTCGTTCCATCATTTAAGTGATGAACCCTCCAACAGTTTGAGTAGTCACAGACAGTCAAGAATCTCAACCTGTTAGACTACAAAGACATATCATGGCACTTGATCGATTTTCGACTGATAGGAAAGCTTTGGTTAATTTTCATCTATTGCGTACACTGTCCCTCGGGTTGTGTTTTCCTCTAAACCTTAACCAGGTCGAAAAAAGAGCTGTACGTTATTGTGAATTAGCTTATATGTTGGTTGGGGATAGGAGCATGTTGAGATTTAATAACTTAAACTAGACCGAGCAAATTCTTGAAGATGCTAAAGTGTGCAGTGCTTTCGACTATCCTGATTTCATGATTTTTTGCTGTAATGTAGTAGAACCCACCCATCTTTGACAAACCTAGGGGTCTAGTGTTCAGATGTTTGTGCTATTGAGCTGGAGGCAGTGGGTTTGAGTCCTAGCCTAGAAACCTTTTGAAGTTTTTGGAAGCTTCTATCAATTTTATCCCATTACTCATTAATTCTGTCAAATACTTTCAAACGTTCATTTTGCCTGACCAGAATCTGTCAGTTTTAGTATTGTCATATATTCTGTCTTGAAAGATAGGACCATCGCTAAATTTTTTTCCCCCCCTCCAGTTATCCCAGCCTTTATCGGCACCAAGTGCTTCAAGGATTATGACCTGACTAGTCTGATACCCTATATCGACTGGAAACCTTTCTTTGATGTCTGGCAGCTGAGGGGAAAGTATCCCAACAGGGGATACCCGAAGATCTTCAAGGACAAGACTGTAGGTATGTTGAAGTAGAGTTGACAAATGATCTAGTGAGTGGTTCCCGTGATTTTAAAGGATGCAGTCTTATTGCGTGATTAAAAACATTTGGGAGAAAAAGTGTTTGATTAATAAATAAGCTCATTTTTACATCTTGTTACTTCTGAAGATAGGTTGTGTTTTCAAAATGTTACATGTTTTTATCAATGTTTTAGTCAAATCCATCACAAGTCTCAAATAACTAGTCAATTCAGTCTTAAGCCAAGCCAGGAGCTATTCCAATGAACTGTGACTGAAGCACTGCTTTTGTCTTTGTTCCTCTTGCTACTTTTGACTGGTCTTGTGAAAGGACTTTTGATGGACTCGACTACAACACTACACTGTGTTGTAATTCTGGACCTTGTGGTGAATGCCACAGTGGCTTTTGAACTCAAACATGCCATCACGCCAGTGAATCGCAGGGGCTCAAAGAGTAGATCTCTAGGTCGATGGTGGGTCTTTGTGAATCTACACAGCAAAATCCTTTTTTTATTGTTTTTCTTTTTCCCAGGGGAGGAAGCAAAGAAGGTATTCAATGAGGCTCAGACGATGCTGAATAAGATTATTGACCAGAAGCTTTTACGGGCCTCGGGGGTGATGTGCATCTATCCAGCCCACAGTGTGGGAGATGACATCTATGTCTTCCATGAGGAGATTGGTATGGGGGAGCCCAAGGCTGTGTTTTATGGACTCAGACAGCAGGTATGGTCTACTGCAGTCAGCTTGATAGCTTGAGGTGTGACCTCATGAAGACATCCTCAACCCTCCTGTCATTTCCCCACTGAAAGAAAGCGACAGCATCACTATAACGTCTTGTGACCTTGTTACTAACTGTGGTTAACATGCTTAATAGAAATTGGGTGCCCCCCTCTTCTGTAACCTTCAGCTCCTCCTCCCACTTGCGTCACTTTTAGTCAGAACTCTTGACTATGCCTTTCGGTGGGTAAAGTCTGCATAGGTAAATTGGGATCAACGTAAGTTATCACCTGGGTGGGATTTTGTGGAATGAAGGCCGGTTCTTACTTGATGCCAAAGCGAAGACCTGTGTGAATTTACGATGTCGGATCAAATATTTGTGCTGCGAATTTGCTGAAGTTGGTTACATTTTCAACTCGAGCGAAATTTTGCTGGTAATCTTTCGTGACGTTAAATTTGCCTCGCTTCCGCATTGGCCTGTAGCATGAACCAGCCTTCAGTAGAGAGAGTATTTTACCAAATTCATGCGTCGCCAAAAATCATCGGAGCTTCATTCAGAGCAGTGGTCATGGCAGTTTTGGACTGTAATAGAGTTTTGCCAACCAAAGGTTGCTGCACCATGAAATTTGCCCCCTGGTCTTTTGCATCACAGGTCCTTTCCCTCGAAGGTCTGGAACTTCAATCTTAGTGCCTCTCCTGCAGTTTCCTGCTGAAGTTGTCTCATGGTGTTTGTCAACATTGTAAAATGTATACTGTTTTGATTTGATACCCACTGTCTGCCTGTGAGTCTCTGCTTTCAAACACTGAATGCAACTTATTTGATGGGTCACACCATCAGTTGTCATAAAGTCTAATCATGGTAATGCCATGAACATTGTCAGTGATAAAAAAGATTGAAGTTCCAAAGATGTTCAAGTTGAGTTCTGTGGGAACTTAGTACTCTAAGTCCCCCTTCATCTTTTTTTTCCACTCCACCAAAGTAATTTGCGTCTCCCTTGTTGGTGAAGTCTCTAAAAATGACACATTTCTTGAAATGCTCTGATCTTCTCCTTCTAGGCTGAGAAGGACTCGGGAATGTTGAAGGAGCCCTATATGTGCCTGTCTGACTTCATTGCTCCCAAGGAGTCGGGAATAACGGACTACGTTGGGGCGTTTGCCGTGTCGGCGGGCTTCGGGTCCCGTGAATTGTGTGAGAAATACGAGAAAGAGTTTGATGACTACAGCGTCATCATGGTCAAGGCGCTTGCCGACAGACTAGCTGAGGTGTGACCTTTGAAGGACTTACTTTTCTGGAAAATGGCCTGAAGCGGTTTGGCAGGAGTGTAGTTTTATGCACATTTCCAGATTTCTGGCAACGGTAACTGGTCCTAAAGGCAGTCTATGAAGTATAGACATTTATCAGTTGCCGAAGATATGTAAAACAAAACTGCTGCAAACTGCTTGCTGACTACAGTGACCTAAAATACAAATCACAAAATATGGAGGGCCTGACATTTCGATCCTAGCAGAATTTTTCTCAAAGGGAAAAAAAAAAAATTTTGCCTTTGAGAAAGATTCTGCTAGGATCGAAACGTCAGGCCCTCCATATTTTGTCATTTATCAATTGTTGTACGTGTAGAAATGAAGGAATTTTCATTCTTGGGTGTAACCTGGGCAGTTTTGTGAGTGGAACTGTTAGTACAGCCTTTGAAATGGCCCAGCTGTGATCACAGGGTTCTCTTGCTTTTTTTTTTGCCTATATTGATTCCTCTGCACCATTTAAGACCTGCTCTCTCTATGCAGGCTTTTGCTGAGGAGTTGCACATGAGGTTACGTAAAGAGTTCTGGGGCTACGGCAACCAGGAAAAACTGGAAACCCAGGACCTTCTCAAAGTCAAGTATGAGGTAGGTCACAGAACATCCTGTACCTCTTAACTTCACAAGACCAGTCACAAGACCAGTCACAAGACCAGTCACAAGATCAGTTACAAGATCAGTTACAAGACCAGTCACAAGACCAGTCACAAGACCAGTCACAAGATCAGTTACGAGACCAGTCACAAGATCAGTTACAAGACCAGTCACAAGTCACATGGCAAATAATGACAAGGAATGCTTTTGTTGCAGTTCATTTGAACCGTGTGTGTCTTGAGTTCAGGCTTTAGGTCTTGTGTCGGTCTTGTGATTGTCATAAGAGGTCTTGACTTCAACACTGCAGCTGGTTATAGTTAATACCTAATTTTGTACATTTTAAGTGCCTTTACTCATGCAAACCTTTACTTTGTAACACACATGTTGTAAAACTAATGGCAGCAAACAAGAAAGGCACCTTTAGTCTTTACACACTGAACTTGATATTTCAAGAAACTGCTACTGACCGACATCTTCCCTTGATCTAAACAATCTGCGCAGGGCATCAGGCCTGCGCCTGGTTACCCCAGCCAGCCTGACACACAGAGAAACAAACCATGTGGGACTTGATGGACGTGGAGACCAGCTGTGGCATCAGACTGACCGAATCCCTCGCCATGGAGCCCGCTGCCTCTGTCTCTGGACTCTACTTCGCCCACCCCAAGTCCAGTTATTTTGCTGTGGGAAAGATCACCAAAGACCAAGTAAGCTGTGGAGATTGGAAAATCCAAGTGAAACCAGTTGAAACAGTTGGGCGGTTCTTAACGACACTTATCGTTGCAAAAGGAAAATTTCTATAATTAAAAGTTTATGGCTCTTCATTCTGTGCATAGTGTAAGATATACATTTACTGAGGCTTTGTAGACTAATTTGGTGGCCAGAACTGGCCTGTTTTACCATTTGAGGTAACTAAAGATTTCATCCACAGTAGTAAATACATGGGATTATTTAATGCCGAGGTTTTTTTAATGTTCTGTCATCGTTCCAGGTTGAAGACTATGCTAGCAGGAAACACATGGACGTGTCCGATGCTGAGAAATGGCTAGGTCCCAACTTGGCCTATGATACCTCTTGAGGACAATGAGACTGTCTTCACTGATCTGATGTGAGGAATCGAATCCAGACCACAGAGCCGTGTATCACACTGATGCTGATTTCTACATACAGACCGGTTCCTTTCACTGAAATCATGAGTGTTACAACAAAGAGTCAACTCAGCAGCAGAGTTAGCTGTGTGTAAGAAGTGACGAGCAAAATAATCACAGTGGCTGTGGAAAAATATTAGCTTAGCTTGAGCCAAGTTCAGTTGCTGGCCAAAAGTCAACCGCTTGCCGATTTGGCTTGGTACCAGGATATATTTCGTGCATCTTTTATCAGTTAAAATTGGTGGTTATCAAATGACCACTGATTGAACTTGGCCATATCTGCTAAGGCTTTTGCACAAATTCTAAGCTGACTTTTCCCCCCACCGTTATTTGCGAGTCTAATTCACCGAAACACAGCTTGATAGTATTACACTAGGAACCTGGAAATGGATGACCCATAGGCGGCCATTCTACAAAGACCATGCACTGCAAGATGGCAGATGCCAATTCTCTTGTAACTTACAAAAGGAGAACATCTCCAACCAGTGGACAATAGACCGATTCCGCCCGCTAAGTCATTTGACCTACAGTGGGTATCACTTCAAAAGGACAGCTTCTTTTTAAGTGTTGTTTACCAAAAATGAAGCCAATTTTTGGTATATCACTCACGGGCATTACTTTGGGTCAATGACACCTATGACACACTTTGCCATGGGGGACACTGTGTTTTGCTGATATTTGATACTCCAGGTCATGTGACTTAGTGGGTGCGATCGGTCTATCACAGCATCGTAACTGTTTGACCCAGTAACACTCGTATTACTTAGTATTACATTGTATTTATTTCCTCATTAACATATACAGCCATATACTACGTGGGTATTTAGGGGGTGGTGTAGGGAGCAGTGATTAGGGTGGCCATTCAGGAATAAGTTGGTAAGATAAGTAAGTCTTGATATTAGAGCTTCATGTAAACGAATGAACCAGTAGCTTTCAGCACAAACCAAATTTTTGTCAGCATTTAAATATTTTAGCGACTTGACTTTTAAAATTCCCACACGGCCAGTGCCAGATCCACAGTCATTTGCTCCTTGCCAGTTTTGGACAAGTTATCAAACTGGGTTTCTTTATTACTTGACTTTATAGTACTATGTTGTTGGTGGTTTCTACAAACTTTATTCATTGCCTTGGGGGTCAGGGAGTACCTGTACGTTCTCCGGGGGGGGGGGGGCCTTGGACTTTTAGCCCTAACTTCGTGTTATGTGCACATTTGAACTTCTCAGGTTCATTTTTTTTTCTTTTGAGAAATAGATCATTGATAGTTAAACCACTTCCTGCCGGGTGGATTTTTCTTGAGCGGGATGAGATGATGGGATCTTTTCAAGATTTTCCGTTTTCAAAATTCTTCAAAAAATCATGTGTTCATTTACTGGATGTTTAAACCCACACGAACGACTGTCTGGTGGCTACTCTAATCTGACAAGCAACCTTCATTGACGCCCGAGTATTCAACCAAGCCTGCAGCCCTGTGAAAGAGAGCGCTGAATTGTGAGGTGTTGCATAATTTCCTTTGTTCCGGTGAATGCCAGTAGCGTCTTTTCATTCACGGCTGGATTGGCGAGCAGCGGTGCTCTGTCGCTCATCAATGGGGCCCTGGAGCACTTTTGTCCGCGGTGCTAATCCCCGGGCGCGCTATGCCCAAAACAGTGGTATACTGTTTCAAAACAGTGCCAGACTACCTTCGAAAATGGAAGTCGCAGTTAATGATGGCAAATTCCCAGCAGCAGGTCCTTTATTCTGAGTACAGTCTTTTGTTACACAGACCAGCTCTTTTGTCCGAAACCAGGCACCCCGGCTCTGCGTATAAACATACGGTGCCGGGCACCCCAGCGGGAAGTGGTTAACAGTGCCATCTTATGTATTATACCCCTACATTGGAGTATCTGAAATTGGTAAGCTGTTGCCACTGAAAACAAATAGTGAATGTTCCATTTTAAGAAAGAAGAAATTATTGATGAGTTTTTGGCTTTCAGATGTGCCAAAATTGCCTTAAACATGTCTGTAGATTTTAGTTTGTTTTAAAGATTTTAGGCATTGAAATGCAGCAGTTTTTGCACTCACAGAAACACCATTGAAATTGGTCAAAATTTCTGTAGCCATTACGAAAGGTTTGACATTTCACTACTGGCACTCTCAAAGCACTGCTCTTAGCTAAATCAAAATTTCTGTAGTCATTTCGAAAGATTTGATGTTTCACTACTGGTATTCTCAAAGCACTGCCCTTAGTTTACATTCAGTCCTGGTGCTAATGTGGAGTGTACCTGACTGATTTTCATTGTGTGTTGCAATGTATTTTCATAACGTGTTCAACTTTTCCGACTCCACCATTGATGCACAATGGAGAATGGTGCTGATTTAATTCATAAGTCACTTCTTTCCTCTACTAGAGGGCTGAGATGTGAACAGAACCTTGATCGGCCACGTCCGACTCACCTCACTGCAGCTTTTAGTAATCCCAGTAACATGATCGTCTACCAGAAGTTATCTCAATTCAGCTGTAGCTTAACCACTTCCTGCCGGGGACTCTGGAATCGGAGACGTATGGTTTATATGTGTGGCCGGGGTCTCTGAACTCGGACAAAGGAAACAGGGCCCTGTAACAAAAGACCGTACTCCGAACAAAAGACCAGGCTGCTGGGCATTACCGACATTTTTCACTCTCAAAAGTGGTGATAATCCAGCCTTGTTTTGAAACCTTATACC